ACGGCTCGCTGGTGGGCTGCTGGAAGACGCGCCCCTTAATCATAATGCGCTGCATGACAGCACATTGGGTGGGGGGCTTGGCTGCGGCTGCGAACCCTCCTGCTGATCCCTCCCTTGCCCCCTGCCCGCCATGCACTTACCTCGGATGCTTCTTCTGGCGTTGCCAGCTGCACCACCATCGGCAGCTCTGCTCCCACAAAGAATGGCAGCTTCGCGGCAGCCAGCAGGTGGCAGCAGATGCCGTGCTGGGCCTGTCCGTGGCAGGTGCAGGCACCCTCGTGCGGCCGGCAGTGCACCGCCTTGGTGATGTCGGCCAGCGTGGAGGTGGTGCAGATGCCTGTCCCCTCGTCCACCTGGATCAGCCCAGCCTCCACCAGGTGCGCTGCCGTCTCCAGCCGCAGCTTGTGTGTGTAGCCGACGACCTCAGCGGCTGCCCGCACGTGGACGCACACATGCTCCGCTGCGCCATGGGCAGCCGATGGGGGAGGTGGGCAGGCATCGTACCGCAGACATTGCAATGCATTGACCCGCCCCTGGCTCTTTCCACTCACCACTGTAGCCGCAGGAGCAGCTGAGATCGCCCACACACGAGTGCACGGGCGGCGCATCTTCTCCTTGCTGCACCAGCGTGAGCCCTGGGGTGCTGCTATCCGCTGCTGGCACCACCGCACCGCGTTCCACCAGCTTTTGCACCCACAGTGCTGCCCTTTGCTCGCGCTGCTGCTGGTCGCTGGTCACCCGCCCCGCCAGCATGTGGGCGCGGTTATGGATGTTGCGGGGCACTGTCTTTGTCAGCAGCGCCAGCAGCAGCTCGTGCAGCGTCAGCTGCGCCCTGCGCTCCAGGTCGGTGTACTTGATGAGGCCAAAATTGCGCTCCCCGAGGTTGTTTGTGTTGCACTGCAGGTCCAGCACGTCCAGCCGCCCCCACCACGCCCACTTCTCGGCGCACGGAACCCAGCTGCTGTGCATGCGCTGCGCCACCGGGAGGTGCTGCTGGCTGTTGCTCAAGATGAAGAAGGCCAGCTGCAGGGCGCAGGGCAGTGGCGCATGCAAGTAGTGCGTGGGTGAGCAGTTGTAGATTGCTGGCCATGCGCTGCGTTGCTGCCCACCTCTTGTTTGAACGGCGCTTGGTCTTGCATGTGGGCTAGGCGAGCCAGCGCCAGCATGATGCGGTGCCGCTCAGCCTTAGGCACACCCGCGTCGCCGCTGCTGAGGAAGCGTTCCCAATCTTGCAGGAAGTGGAAGTAGCAGAGCAGGTATCCTTCGGCATGCCCGGTGGACACCAGCTGGTCCACCGCTGCAATCTCCGTCTTCGACTTGTCGATCATGATAGACTTGTACTTGAAGGTGCCATCCCCTGCCGCCTGTGCCTGCTCATTGGTGGTTTGGGAGGCGGGGGTGACAGCATGAGGCAGCAGCAGGGCAGGCAGCGGGGCTGGCAGCGGACTGGTGCCTGCCCAGCGCATCCCTCTATCCTCTGGCACTCACCCCTTCCATCGATGTGCGCAGGAAGTGCTCCACCACCTCCGCCGTATCCGAGCTGCACACCATGAAGCTGACCGGCACCCCGCGCCCGCTCTCATCTTGCACCTGCAAGTACCAGGATCAGGTGAGGGTGCTACAGCCCTGGTGCGCGCCGGTGTGGCTGCATACTCAACCCAGCCTGGCTGCTAGGCTGCTAGGCTGCAGGCTCACCACCAACGCGTAGAGTGGGTAGCCGTATTTGTTGACGCCAAACGTGGCGTCCATGAACACCAGCCGCCGCCCAAACTGGTCCAGCATGCGCGCCTGGAAGGACACTTGCATCACAATCACCAGCGGCTGCTCCCCGCTGCGCCTGCCAGCCTGTTTGTAGGGCTGGTAGAACAACACAGAGCCCTCCCTTCTCAGCTCATCAATCAGAACCGCCATCGCCTGCACGTCGCTGGTGAGGCCCAAGCCTTCAGCACGCCGCAGCTTCTTTATCAGCACATAGATCTGCCGCGGGATGATGCTAACACGGGCGCTGCTGAAGTGCTGCAGCCCAGTAGTCCCGCCCCCGAGGCCCAGCGGGTCGGCCGGATCATGCACCATGTTGTTCAGCCGTGTGCAGATGGACGTGGGCGTGGCGCCACTCTCGATCATCACGGTGGCCATCGCCTCCAGGCGGGGGTGCATGCGGAGCTGGGCCTGGCTGTCGGCGCTGGTGGGGTCATGGAACTGGTGGGGCGCTGTTTGCCACACGCTCACCACCTCGCTGCCAGCCGGATGCCGCAACTCCAGCGTGTACGGGCAGCTGCACTTGGATGCATGGGAGCAGACATACTTGAGCGTCCACTTGCCCGCCGCTTTCTTCTGCAGGCCGCTCCGGATGGTGCCAACATCATCAGCCGTTGCCGTTGACACACCAGCACCGGGCTGCCCAGCAACGTCGAGGGCTGCATCCAGGTATGGAAAGTGGCGGTATGTTTGGGCTGGGGCATGGCGGGGAGAGTAAGAGACACTGGTACAGCTTGTTGTCCTCCGGCCCCCACAGCCCTGGACAAGGAGGCGCACCTGGAACTGCATAGTGTAGAGCCCGCACCTCAGCATCAGCAAGCCCTTGCACAGGACGCGTGCCGAGGAACACCTCTTCCAGCAGCGCCGAGTCGGGCTTCACTCGGCGCAGATCCACAGGTGCGGCCTGGTTGAGCTGGTGATCAGACAGCCAGTCATACACCTCTTTCAGGGGCAGGCCGGTAACAAGCTCCACCGCCTCTGACAGCTGCAGCGTCTTCCCATCAGCTGGCTGCCCCATTGCATGCAGGTAGGCGCCTTTGAAGTTGTGACGGATCTTCTGGCCCTCCAGCTCGCACGTCCACCCATCGCCGCTCTGGGTAGCAGGTGAGGGGGCAGCAGCTGGTTGGCATGACGCAGCAGGAGCTGGTGCGCAGGAGGGGATGCCAGCTGCATTGCTGGCCAAGGCGTAGGGGCAATGGCTGAGCGCAGCAGCGCGCATGAGCCTACCTTTGCAACGATTGTGCCCAGTGCAGGCCTGTGTGTGCCCAGCACCACCTGGATCCGCTGACCTAGTCCAGCTGGCGGGACGCGCTCCTTGTGGTGCACGAGCGGCAGCTCCAGGTACGTCTCAGCTATGGCTTTGTCGCGTTGTCCTTCGCGTGGT